AATGTACCCGTGACTACTGTGGGGTCTGCTACTGCTTTTGTGTGGCCAATAGCCAGTAGTCTCCCTGCTCCACTCGCATTCCCTGCCTTCGGACAATTTCTTTTGAAGTGCCCTACCTCGCCACAACCGTAACAGGTCTGGCTTACTCCAGTACTAGGGACCTGGGAAATGGGTTTGGGTTGAGATCTGCAAAACCGGGCGGTATGGCCCTTCCGGTCGCAGTTAGTGCAGTGCATTTCATGGCAGGGGCCGTTATGATGGAAGGAGCACTTGGTGCACTTGGGTAGGCTCCCTGCATATGTTTTGGCTGGTACAGGGGCAGCAGGAGTAGTGGCAGCATGGACAGCCACAGTTTGTTGGTTCTGGGAAGAGAACTGAGCTGAGTTGCCCTTCCTTCGGTCCCCACGCTTCCTTTTGTTGTCCGATGTCTTGGCTGATGCGGGGTAGTTGTTGTGGTTGTTGATGGAGTAGAAGGAACTTCGTGATCGATGAGCCTCTGGGCCAATTCCTTGGCACTATCAAAAGTCGCAGGGTGTGAGGCTAGAACGTTCCCTCGATACGGGGGTACCAGTCCCTAGATGTATCTTTCAATTTTCTTGCCTTCGGTGGGAACCATGTTAGGGCATAGAGCCACCAGGTCGCAGAACCTTGCTGTATAAGCCACTATGTCGGAACCCTTCATTTTGAGGTTCCAGAGTTCCTCCTCAAGCTTTTGAACTTCGCCCCTCGGGCAGTACTCCCTGGTCATAAGGTCCTTCAGTGTATCCCATCCCATGGCATTAGCTGCTACCAATAAGAGTGATTTGACATGGCCATTCCACCATGTCAGGGCCCTTTGGGTGAAGGTGCAAGCAACGAACTTAATCTTGCTTTCCTCAGGGCATGAGCACCTCTCGAAGATGGCTTCTGTTCTCTCGATCCATTGGGACAGTGCGAGGATCCCTCCGGTTCCGTTGAAGTATGTGGGTTTGCAGCTGATGAAATCCTTATAGGTACACTCCCGTGTACGTGGGTGGATTTCACCATGCCTAGAGTTGGTGCTCATTCCAGCCCTACTAGCATCACCAAAATTTATTTGGGCCATCGTTGCGGTCACAGCTGCGGTTACAGCTGGCTGAAACATCACCGCATCGAACTGCGGAGGAGGTGGTGGTGGTGGAGTTTGACTCGCAGGCGTGTTTCTGGTCGGACGCTTTCTAGGCGGCATCTTTTACTGAAAGCTGAAAGAGATGAACGATAATAGTAAGGATCAATTGTAAGTATGATGAGAGTGTTTCATGGACTAAATCGCCATAGTCCAATTTGTTAGATAGGAGCATATCAATAGAGTAGGAAAAACACAAGAGTAAGAACTTTCCGATAGATTAGGTAACTGCAAAGATTACTGGTATTAATGATGTAAAATGTGTTCGGGAAAAATTGACCTAACAGTAGGTCTTACATCAAACCATAAGGGAAAATGTTGGCAGCTTAAAAGTCTAATTAGAGTACTTTCAAAAGTTAGGAATATTTTACAGACAAGTGTTCCTTAGGGCACAGAAAAGAAGGCTATTCCTTAATTCAAAAGTAAAGATGAGTCGACATCTTCTACCGACGACGGGTATCCCTCGGACGAACCCTCAGGTCTGCTAGTTGACGTACAACTTCCTGAAGATGTCGTTCATGCGCCCTCTGACGGACTCGGAGTTCCATGACTTCAGCTCGGGATGCAGCTAGTTGTTGCTGCAGAGCCTCATTGGTCCTCCTGGTTCTATCCACAGTCTCTTCGAGTTGGCGAATACGGACCGTGTTAAGGTTAGAGTTGGCATCAATTTCCACTACTCGGTCGATGGCTGCATGACCTTGCTCAGCGTTCCGAGCAATCCTACGGACCATGATGGGTAGGATCCGGTCAGCTGAACCTCCTTCGCTTATGTTGTAGAAGCTTCGGTCTCCGTTGAAAGGTAACGGCTGACCCTGTTCATCACTCCATCGATTCAAGGTTGTTGCCCACATGGGGGTGGGACCTTGAAATGTCGGACGGGGGTTGGGGTTTGGAATTGGGACTTCTTGAGGAAGGTTGTTGACTTCTGGGTCGGAATCAGAGCCATCCGAAAAGCCTTCTGCGAGGTGATCATCCAAAGGGATTGGGTGATCGTCTTCTGGCTCATCGTCAAGCCATCCACCAATGCCTTGGTTGGGATAGTACGGGTCGCCGGGGAGATGAAAGCCAGCCATGTTATCTACGCGAGAATGGGGAAAGAATAGTTAATAGACGTACTAATCTTAAGATAATTATAAGATGATCTTTACTAGTTACTTCAATACTTGCATAGTGCATACCAATTACATGTAATCAAAACAAGATAGACCTTCGAATAAGTGACCCTAACTCTAAATCCACAACCAAACAAGGAACAGGAAGTAAAGAAAAGGTCACAGATTCTAAGTCTATAGCGTCTTAGTTGCATGTAACCGTAGCGTATCCACTTAGCAACTATTGTTCTACTAGTAAAGACCTTTTTAGTTCTCACAAAGTAGTTATAGTAACAAAATACTCCTATAGTATTTTAGGTTTAAGTTCTATTCTAATGTTCTTGTTGTAGTAGTGTTGGTAAGTTTTTAGACTTGTTGCAACACCACAACCATTCTTAGGCACATGCTAGTCACTCCTAGGATAATGTAGTTGATCAGTCTACATCCTCCCAGATTTGACTATATGTCTCTAAGCCTAATTGTGCTGTTCAAAAATCTTAATACTTTTGTTCTGTTCTAGTATGATACTGACCCTTGTATGAATAGATGTATATATATACTTAGTTAAATATCTTCTTATTTAAAAGTATATATTCTTGGTCAGAGTGTTTTAATCCCGATGTGTTTATAGTTCATATATCTTTTATGGGTTGATATACTTGATTCACTATAAACAGTGCTCTGATACCAATCTGTCACACCCCAAAACCGGAACGGCGGAAAACGTTCTGGGGTGGAGGACGTCATGTATAGTATCATAACAATGCATAATAGTAAAGACAAGCAACAACATCCATTGCATTAATATAATAATTGTAATACAAGCGTGTTCTGTATAGTTTGTAAGACACCAAAATGTACAATCAAAATAAAAGATGAGTCTTGTATGTGCTCCATCTTCTCAAAAGTTGCATCTGTACCTGTCTACTGATGACCTGAGAATACAAGTTATTTTGAAAGAGTTTATCAGCATAAAGCTGGTGAGTTCATAAGTATTTAGTGTCATTGCTTGTATAAAAATGTTAGTACAATGGATAAAGTTTCCAACTTTATCCATTAGAATGGTCTAAGCAACCAAGATCTGGTCTTTAAGTCTCCAAGGGACTAAAAGTGCATTTTTTCAACTTAATCCATTAAATCCAAGTCTCCAACCTTTTGATCTGAATCAATATGATTTTTAGATGGATAATGTCTCCAACTTTATCCATAACAAGGTCACAAACTTTTAAGATTTAAACTTTATGCATTAAAGTGACCAAAAGGTCATAACACCCAAAAGTAGCTAGATCTAACAAATGCATCATCAAGATTCAAGATTTATACCTCTAGAAGAGAGATCAAGGTGAACAAAGTCTGAATCTACAAGCTCCAATGCAACCAACACTTCCCCAATGAGCTCATTCTTATCCAAGATGCACCAAAAGCACTCCGAAGCACTTAAAAACACCTTCTTTTTGCTCACAAGGCTCAAACTAGGGTTAGAGTTTCAAGAGAGGGTGTTGGAGAGGTGGAGGCTGAGAATGAAATTTGTATGGGGAAGTTAAGGAGCTTAAATAGGGTTTAAACCACGAAAATAGGGTTTGGGCACTGATCGCGTACGCCCAACGTACTCCTAGTACACCCATCGTACTTCCCCATACGCCCAGCGTACGCGGCTTAACCCAAAACCGTCTTGACTTCAAACGGTCATAACTTCTCCGTTTCAACTCCGATTTCGACGATCTTTATATCCGCGGAAGGTATTGAAGAGTTATATAACCCTATCTAATTACTTTTTAACTTAAACTCATCGAACTAAAATCCTTAATTCATAAAAAGAAGCCTAAAACACCACTTTTCCCATTATATCCGTGGGCTCCAAAGCACAAACCAACTCTTGGATCACATAATCTACATTACCCACATCCAAATGGGTCTAAACCTATCCTTCCCCAAGGCACGAAGCCTTATGATAATTGATCTTCGGGTCACAGCTCCGAACTATGGAATGAATCGAAACAGGGTGCTACAAAATTTCTTCTAAGTATAACCAATGCACACAAAGTATTCCATCTCCAACAACAAGTGCATCATATAAACCACTTTATAATACTTAACATGGAATATGATGGACAACAATGTAAACATCTCTTTTCATAAACACCATACAAACTTCATTCCTTCTATTTAAGCATATTTCCATCCAACAATTCCCAACATACACTTCAACTTACATACACATATTCAAGTACATCAACTTGTAACTCACATGAACCATCCCTTGACATCTTTCCCATTCCAAAGTATAGTTAATTCACAACGAAATAATATTTTCATCAAAAGTACTCTACATGTTCCACATTACCAGTTAAGGTAACATACTTTCATCATGGTAACATACCCTTTTTACCATACTACTTCATTTATATTTCCACTGATCTATCCATCCACTACAAGCACTTGTATATCCATTTACTCGTCTTGTAAAACATGGGTGTTACATAAAAACTCAAAAAAAGAGGATTTTAGTCATATCGCATTGGCGAGGGGCAGAATCCGCAAGAACGACTATACTTAATAGATGGACCTGTGATAAAAGAAAAAATTTAGACTAAAACTGCAATCCTTTTACAACCACAAGGACCATTTCTGTATTGTACTCTAAGAAAATATAGTATTATTTCCGTTAAAGAAACATTAAAGAGAGAAATATCGTGAAAGCTTTTCTCCCCTCAATAATGGAAGGTTTTTATCTATCCACAGAAAATATTGTTTATTGACAATACATGTTGAAACCATACACTGCTATTATCCTCGCACGCCAACTGTTTGATTATATGTTCATTAGAATTTTTGTTGCTGAAGAAACAGGATCGGCTGAAGAACTAGCAGCGCTGAAGGATGAAGAAGGGCTGTTTCGATGTGCATCGTGCCTGGTTTGGAGTTTCTAAACCTAGGATTTTCTCTCTTCAATATCTTGATATCAAAACTAAGGGTATAATTGTCAATACACAATATTTTGTGTGAATGGATAGAAACATTTTGTGGATAAATCAGCCCCCCTACTAATAGCTAAGGCAATATTCTTTCTCACCTCTCTCGCTGCTACTTTTGCTGCTGCTCTGTAAACAGGTAACTGGGAAGGCACTTTCAGTTAGTTTCAGATGTTGTTAGACAATTTTCTCTTATTAATCATAAGTCGTATCATAATCATGTGTTTGTTCAATAACAGGGGATTGAAATTTCGATTATTTCTGTTACTGTTTTCAGTTATGTGTTTCAGTTAGGGTAGTACAAAGTCCTAACATATACTTTCTTAATTCAGCTATATATTCCAACTCACAAACACGATTTTCTGCATATGATTTTTTTTGAACCTGAGCAGTAAGCTAAACACTAACAATGAAGAAGGTTTAAATTTCGATTGTAATAATGCTAAATTGTATGGTGAACTTGCTTACCTGTTGAAACCAGGTTATAAAAAATCTCGGTTGTCATGGAGTATTTATATTAGGATTTTGCTAGTGCAGAGTCTAGATCAATTTACGCACCATTTATTTGCAGATTGACAATTCATTTCTTTGTAAATTTAAGGTTAATATCATAAAAAACCATAATTTACTTAAAAAAAACCTTGCATTTTTCCAATTAGTTCCGAATAATCTTCCGGTTAATTTTTCCATTTTTTTTCTTAAAGGAGACCTTGCATTTTTTTTTTCGGATTAAACCTTAACTTTAATTTGTCAAATATTAGGGTTTTTTCGGACAAAAAGAAAAAATCTAAAGGTTTTTTTGGAAAAATAAAAATTCGGGGTTTTTTCGGAAAATTTGTCTACAACCGGAAGGCCAAATCTAAAATAACGGAAATATATAAGGTATTTTTTAAGAAAAAAAAAATAACTTTTAGGTTTAATCCGGAAAATCCAAATTATGCTCATTTATAGTGTTAACTCTAAATTTAACATCTATAATGTTGGTCAAAGGCTATGTCACTTGTCACTTGAGTCACCTCTGTTACATAATTGAGCCCTCATTGACATGATCATAGTTGCACCTGAAAGGGAAAATTTGGCCTAGCTGACCACTCCTTGTTCTAGTTGTGCTTTAAATTTTTCTTACATGGACCAGTTTCTCATCTGGTTCTTGGGTTCATCCCTTCGATAGTGTTTTCGTGTGGATGTTGTAATTTAAATTGACAGTGATATCTATATATTTGTGTATAAAGTACATTTACCTCGAATTTTCATGTATTACAGACTTTTTCATCAAAATAGTTACTTTCCTACTTACTGAGATACACAAAGTCGTGGGAAAAGTGAAGGGTCGTCAATCCATATAACTCATAATGGCTGTTCTCTCTGAACATTCTCAAGGATCTTCATCTTCTTCATCAACTCATAAAGGTCATAGATATGACGTATTTTTAAGTTTCAGAGGTGTTGACACTCGTCATGGTTTCACTAATCACCTTTATAATGCCCTCATTCATGCCAACATCATTACCTTCTTGGATGATGAAGAGATGGAAACCGGGGAAGATCTGAAACCAGAATTGAAGAGTGCTATTAAATCATCTAGGGCTTCTATTATCGTGTTCTCCAAGAATTATGCAACTTCCACATGGTGTCTTGATGAACTGGTGTTGATCCTTGAGCAACGTATGAAATTCAACCATGTTGTAATCCCCATCTTTTATCATGTTGACCCCACTGATGTCAGGAAGCAACAAAGTAGCTTAAGAGATCCAATAGCTAAGCATAGACAAAAGATGGAGGCAGAGACAAATTCAAATAAAAGAAGTCAATGGTCTCAAAAGATAGAGCTTTGGAATAAAGCGCTTAGAGAAGTTGCTGACTTAAAAGGGAAGGATGCAAATGGCAGGTAACCACTTTCTTACCCATTTTTCCATACTCCTTTAACATTGTTTAATTAGTACATGAAAATTTAACATAATCTTTTCATGCATTTCAGCACGTCTTCATTTTCATCAAATAGGCATATTTTTATGCATTTAATTGGACAAAGATATGCTTGGAATCGAATATAATTTTTGCAATTATGTGATCTCACAAATTAATTCATATTGACCAATTAAACCATCATGCCAACTTAAACACATTTGCTATGCATTTTTTTTTATCTTATCACAAATTAGTTCATGTAGATAATCATTTCAATGATTTAATATGCTTTTCATTTATAAACAAAATATTTAACAATTGTAATGCATGTATTATATTTTATATCATTCTACCTTTAAACTATATCATCTTTTATTATGATATATTAATGCTTTTACTTGTAAGTATTAAAGGGTAAGTTATATATATGATATTTTTGACCTTGCACATTAGATGCTTACATGGTTAGGATTGCAAATACAATAATAGTTATGATACAAAAACTTAATTATATAATAGCTTAATATGATATAAATTTAATTTGGATCATTTTGAAAAAGTAAATATCCAGTACGACATGTTAGTTGTGTGATTATGTTTTGTTGTTCTAACTAAAATCAAATTACAGGCTTGAGGTGGAGTTTATTGATGAAATTGTCAAGGACATCTTCCGTAGATTACACATACCCTCAAGGTTTCCACTACCACAACTTATTGGGATGGAAGATTCCATTAAATTCGTCACTTCATGGTTGAAAAATGCATCATCACATATGCTAGACATACTCACTATTTTGGGGATGGGTGGGATCGGGAAGACGTCTTTAGCCAAATATGTCTATGCGTTACATTCTCATGAATTTGACACAAGCAGCTTCATTGAAGACATCAGTAGGAAATGTGATGAAAAATCTAATGGGATGCTTGATGTACAAAAAAAACTATGTGATGATATTTCAAAACCAAGTTCAGTTCAAGTTCTTGATGATTCTATATGCACCTCAATGATAGAGAATGCAGTGATGCGCAAGAAAATGTTTCTAGTTCTAGATGATATTAGTACTCTTAAACAATTAGATGCATTACTTGGAAGCAATGGTTTTTATCCAGGATCCAAAATCTTGATAACAACAAAGGACGCATGGTTAACAACGAGTTGTACACTATTCAAAACGACTGTTAAACCCAATCATGCAACATGCGAGCTTAATGTCTTATATGAGATCAATTCACAAAAGCTTTTGTGTTATCATGCATTTATGTGCAATCATCCCAAACCAGGTTATGAAGAGGTGTCAGAAATGCTTGTGAAGTATTGTGAAGGACATCCAATGGCTCTTAAAGTTTTGGGTAGGTCTCTACATAATCGAGATGTAAGTTATTGGGAGGGATACATAGATAGGCTAAAGAAAGAAAATGATTCCCCTATAAATAATGTCTTGAGAATGAGCTTCGACTCTTTGCCGTCAGAAAATGATAAGGAGTTGTTTAAGCATATTGCTTGTATTTTTGTTGGAATGGATAGAGATGTTAGTGTAACAATATTAGAGGCATGTGATATAGAGACAAGATCAGGGATCACGAATCTTATTGACAGAGGTCTTCTTAGTATCAGATGGAATAATGAATTAACAATGCATCAGTTGGTTCAAGAGATGGGAAGATTTGTGGTACGTGACGAATCACTTTACAAGCCATGGGAACGTAGTCGAATATGGGGTCATGAGTCGTTTAGAGTGTTGAAACAAAAAAAGGTAAGATGTCATGTATATTTGTTTAGAGCATTTTGTATTTTTATATACATGTCTTAACATTTTAAAATACTTTTGCATCCCCTTTTTTCATAGGGTACGGATAATGCTCTAGGCCTCAGCCTTGACATGAGAATGCTTGAGAAAGAGAAGTTACATGGATCAGTTGAGTTGAAAACAGAAGCATTGAGTAAGATGGATAGGCTAATGCTTCTACAACTCAATTATGTACAAATAACCGGCTCTTACAAGAATTTTCCAGAAGAATTAAGATGGTTGTGTATGCATGGATTCCCTTTGAAGTTTATACCTTCAGACTTACCGATGGAGAATTTGGTTGCTCTTGACATGTCATATAGCAATATTGAATCGTTTGGCGTTTGTTGTAGTAATCCACAACTTCAACATAGGCAAAAGGTAACTTTCTTCATTTATTATTCTTCCATGATGAGTTGATAAAGTTCATTACTATTCTAACTTTTGTCCTTTTCAGCTGTTACTTGGATCGTGCTTAAAAGACAATATGGTGCTTGTATTATTGAAGATTCTTAATTTAAGTTTCTGTACACAACTTTATAGTTTGGGTGGTTTTGACCAACTCCCTGCACTTGAGAAGTTAATACTTAGAGGTTGCACTGGTTTGCGTGAGGTCTGTGAATCAATTGAGCAATGTGTTGAACTTGTCCACATCGATTTCAGCTACTGTAACAAGCTTGAAAAACTTCCAAGAAGCTTAGTTATGTTAAAGAAAGTTAAAACACTATTGCTAAACGGTTTTTATCTCGATGAATCTCGCATCAAGCTTAGGGATATGGATTCATCAGAAATGCTCAAGGCTAACAATATTGACATAAACACAAAAACCTCTTCCACCACTGTTGTTCTCCAGGCTACGCCAAGTTATTCCAATTTTTCTGTGATTTCTTTACCGAGAAATTTAGTAAGCTTGTCACTTGAGAATAATAATTTGTCCACTGAATCCTTTCCCATGGACTTTAGTTGCCTGTCTATGTTAAAAGAATTATATCTAGATGAAAATCCTATTATTTCCCTGCCTAGCTGTGTGAGAAGCCTTCCTAAGCTTGAGATACTTAGTATGCGAGATTGTAAAATGCTAACGACAGTCGAGCATCCTCCACATACACTAACATTTATGAACCTTTTTCTTCATGGTATTTGTAAGCCTTTGCTACGAAAAGTTGTATTTGATCCACAAATGTCCCCACTGAAGTTCTCACTAGGATGGAGGATCTTGGCACTTTCATCCTTTGAATTTGAAGGTATGGTCAAAATCCAACCAATGGAAGGCGTTGAGGTAAAGGTATTACATTGTTTGGGCTGGAATAACCTAGACTTGCTTAAAGGAAGACACGTGACAACTTCTATTGGTTATAGAGAATCTGAGGAATCTGAAATCCAGGTTTGCTGTAGTTAACTATATGTCTTTGTGTGAATATGTATGCATATATAGTTAATGAATGTGGTTGTATTTGGCAGATGTATTATGAATTTGGAATATTCAGCACAATTTATGAAGGCAAAGAGATGCCGATTTGGATTACACATAGAAGCATGGGTCGATCAATATCATTTACCATCCCATCATCTCCTAACAACCTTACTGGATTAAATTTCTGTTGTGTTCTGACATCTCCATTCGTTGAATTAGTAGATCATGTTCTCCTTGCGGTGCCAGTGATCAAAATTAGTAATGTAACAAAGAACCTCACCTGGATATACGATCATTACATTGATAGAGTGAATGTCGATGGAGGGTGTTTGACTTTGTTAAGCCATTGGATGTTTGGGATGAATGAGATGGAATGTGGTGACCATGTTACTATTACAGTGAGGAAGAGACTATTTGATATTGGTAAGCAAGTTACAAAGGAGTGTAAGAAGTTGCTTTAGATTATTACAATTCATGGAATCACATCATTGGTGGAGATCTCACTCCATTTCAATCAACAACAGGAGAATACATCCTAAGCAAACGTCGATTTCTGTTGCCTAATCTTGATATAGCTCTACTAAGGCATGGTAATCTGCGTGGAGAAGGCGTCCACTTTAAAGGTAGATGTCATTCATATGTAATGCTTTTTAATTAAAGCTGATAATAACTAAATGATAGTATTTTAATTCATGTTTTTATTTTTGCTATCATTTCCAAATCATTAATCTATTTCTTTTCATTAGATAAGTTGTACTTCAAAGCTTTGTCCCAAAGGAAGTCTGGTGCACCAGAGGATGGCCCCTAAGGTACTTTTACCATTCGAGAGAATCCAGATGATATTTGTAATCTAGTGTGGGGTGAGTTTTGTTTATGATAATGGAAGCAATGATGAAGAAGAAGATGCGTTGAGTTAATACAAGTCATGGAATCACATCATTGGTGGAGATATCACTGGATTTCAGCAACAACAGGAGAACACATGCTAAGCAAATGGCGAATTCTGGTGCCTTACATGGATCTGGGTCTGTGTTGAGATGCAACCCTCTTCACAGGTATATGTCATTCTTATGTATTACTTTTTATCTAGAGCTGATGGTAACTAAAATGATAAGTAATATATGTTTTGATGATAAATAATTCATGTTTTGATTTTCTGCAATCAAATTTAAATCTTTAATCTATTCCTTTTCATTACTGCAGGATAGGGCCTAATGTACTTTTATATCCTGAAACCCTTTTTCCTTCAGATAAAATTTAGAACAACCAAACCATCTGTCACAATTTTATTTCCAATATGTTTTCACATAAATATATTTATATATTTCAAGGTGGTAGTGAAGGCTAAGCTTTGTCACCCGAAAGACTTGCACTTGTGGCTTACCCGGCCTTTGCTTGTCTCTACAGCTAGCTCTGCCATTATTATATATAACTATAAGAAAGTATTCTTATAGGTTTGTTTTTATGTTTTCTAATGACAATAAAGGTGCTTTTTGTTTTAGTCTTTTGTTGTCCCAAAGAGTAGGATTTTCCAAGCATTCATTTTCAAAAATTATCCAATACTAGGTTGGATGTATTTTGTTTATGCATATTTATCTCCTCCATCATATGACACATTTCTTTCCCTTAATAAACTGATCTTGTTCTCAAAATTTACTGATGGATATTTATTTCGTTAAAAAGAATGAAGAAAGTTGGGGCATGCTTTGTTTGTGAAATTATAGAAAGCTGGTATTTTCAAAAATGCTGCTGAAAAACTTACACTTGCATGTTCAGCTCTGTCAAGCATTGAATCGTGGTGATTTACCTACAGCCCTCAAAATCCAGGTACTGTTGTCTCACACTCTAAAATCATAAGGCCCCTTTTTTGTTACGCAAGACATGATAGGACTGATATCAATGGGACAAATATTGCAGTTTTTTGTAGCACCCAAAAAGGGGAAGAAACTGGGACACAGACGAAGACGTCAATGGGACAAAAGTTGCAAGTTTTTGTTCATTCTGGAATCTTGTATGTGTAAAAAACATGATTACCCTTCTCATCTTGATAATTGAAAAATAGCTTTAGACATCTTGTTCAGTCCTGTCATGTATAACAAATGCCGCCTCAGAGGCACTGCAAATGAATGACGGCACGGCTGTTAAAAACTGAGGGCCTAGTCTTTATAAGTTTCCCTTGGATTTGTACTTGTTTAAATTGCAACAATGATGTAGGATATTTTCATGTTTTTTACTGTTAGCATTTGATGATGCCTCATATATTTGTTAGGTCTATTAGCCGAGATTATGTTATCCTCACAACAAGATTATGTTTCCTAGTATTTTGAGATATTAGTTAGTAAAGATATCATACATATCTGTGAAATCAGAGTGCGAAAAATCAGAGATAGAGATTAGAGAACTCGTTTTCTCATTCCAAAAATTAAAAAGATTGTGTATACAATGATAGATATATATGCGTAACCTATACTAGGTAACTATCTATTTACACTTGCAGTCCTTCAACTATACAATTCTAACACTCCCCCTCAAGCTGGTGTGTATATATCATATACACCAAGCTTGCTATATATATATATATATATATATATATATATATATATATATATATATATATATATATATATATATATATATATATATTCGACTCAGGGTCCTCTTAGAGACTTTGTAAATCCATCTGCAAGTTGGTTATTAGAATTAACAAACTCAGTAACAATAAGGCCATCAAGCAACTTTTCTCTGACAAAATGACAGTCTATTTCAATATGTTTTGTCCTCTCATGAAACACTGGGTTGGAAGCAATATGAAGAGCTGCTTCGTTATCACATATAAGCTTCATTTGAGAGATCTTGCAAAACCTTAGTTCCTCAATAAGTTGTTTTATCCAAACGAGCTCACACGTTGCATTTGCCATGGCTCGGTATTCTGCTTCTGCACTGGATTTGGCTACCACATTCTGTTTCTTGCTTTTCCAGGAGACTAAGTTACCTCAAAGAGAACACAATACCCGGAAGTTGATCTCCTACTGAAGGGACAACCGTCATAATTAGCATCGGCGTAGCAAGATACCTCTATGCTTCCTTTGTTTTCATATAATAAACCTTTCCCTGGAGCACTTTTAATATATTTTAGAATCCGTAGAGCGGCTTCCCAGTGAGTGTCACACGGAGCATTCAAAAATTGACTGACTATACTCACAGCAAAGGAAATATCTGGACGTGTTACTATGAGATAGTTGAGCGGCTTCCCAGTGAGTGTCACACGGAGCATTCAAAAACCCAATGTTGAACCGACTCTACTAGGACCCCACACATCAGTGTGTACAAGGGAAAACAGAGACTCGACACGATTATTGACACGTTTAGGAAAGACACCACGAGTGTGTTTTCCCATTTGACATGACTCACACTCTAAGGACTCCAATGATGACAAACTTTGCATTATCTTCTTTAACTTGGACAAGGAAGGATGGCCATATAAGTGATGTAGATAAGATGGGGACACTGTACTGACTGCAATGGAAGGACGAGATCCACCCATATAGTAGTGACCTTGTGACTCATGCCCTTCGCCAATCATCCGTCCTGTGCTCAAGTCCTGTAGAAAAACAGAGTTAGAAAAACAGAGTTAGGAGTAAAGGTTACTGAGCATGAATGAGTTTTAGTGATGCGACTGACTGATAGTAAATTGAAAGGGCTTTTAGGAACATATAAAACTGAGTCCAAGGACAATGAAGTGATAGGTTGTGCTTTGCCTATTCTATTGACATCAGTCTTATTGCCATCAGCAACAGTAATCGGCGGTAAAGAATCCGTACAAGTTAATTGAGAAAAAAGATGTTTGTTACCACAGAGATGAACGGTAGCACCCGAATCAACAATCCAAGGCCTACTAGATTGGCCTTGAGTAGCAAAGGCCGAGGGAGTTCCAGTGTGGCTAGTTGCAATAGAGGCTGAATGTTGAGCTGCTTGAAATCTCAGGAATGCTTCATAATCAGATAAAGACATATTGACTGTCTGAGTTGATGAAGCAGCATGTATAGAGCCAACAGTAGATTGACTGGTCTGAGTTGATGGAGCAGTTGGTCGTCCATGTTTCTTCCAGCACTTGTCCTCTGTGTGACCAAGTCGATGGCAAAACTCACATGATGGGCGCTTGCCATTATTTCCTTTCTTTGAACCCGAGGCAAAAATACAAGGAGTTGGGGTTAGACTGGGATTGACCATGAAAGCAGAGGGAGTTGACTCTTGTTTTGTTGTATGTGTACCAGCCATGTTCAGTAGTCTACGAAAAGTATCCTTCATGGTGGGTGCAATAGAGCTGGTATGAATTTGATGCCTAGCAGATTCAAATTCTTGTTTGAGGCCTGAGAGAGCAGCTACCATGAAGAATTTCTCTCGTTGTGCAGTCTACGCAACAGGTGAGTTTACAAATGGCATAAGAGCCTCAAACTCTTGCATCGGGGCACGAATATGTCTCATATATGACTCCATACTTCCATCTTGTTTTAAACTCTGGATATTGTGAACAACAGTGTACAAACGTTGTATGCCATTTGTATAACATTCAGATGCTTCAGTCCAGACATCGTAACATGTTTCGAATGGTCGAAACAGTTGTATAATCGAGGGATCAATGGATTGCCACAGTAAGTTACAGAGTTGAGCATCAACTTGTTCCCATTTTGCACGATCTGCTACTGCAATTTCTGTCACACGCTTTGTCAAATGATCACTTTGACCCTGACCTTTGAACCACATCTTGACTGAGGCTGCCCATGACAGATAATTAGCAGACCCAGTTAATTTTTCCGATGTGATTGATTGATTGCCAGTTATGATAAAAGACTGAAGTAGGAGGATTGACAACGTCACCCATGGTTGATTGTGTGGATTTGGTAGGATTAAACAAACAGAAGCCGAATGTACTGGGGATCGATCAACAGCAAGGAGGGCTTCGGAGATTGATACACGAAGCAGAGATGCAGTGATCGATAACAGAAAAATTGAAGAAAGCAGCGGATTAGGGTTTCATTCGCTCTGATACCATGTGAAATCAAAGTGCGAAAAATCAGAGAGAGAGATTAGAGAACTCGTTTTCTCATTCCAAAAATTAAAAAGATTGTGTATACAATGATAGATATATATGCGTAACCTATACTAGGTAACTATCTATTTACACTTGCAGTCCTTCAACTATACAATTCTAACAATATCCTATACCGAGAATAGTGTATCACAGCCGTATATATACTTGTATTATCAATGAAATAGACAAGGATTCAAGATAATTGTTAACATGGTATCAGAGACTGTAATCCTCTGAAAACTCTTCCTCAACTGTCACCAAGGCTGAAAAGGCCAAAATAACCTCTGAATCTAAAATCTGGTCTCTTCTAGATGACATTGTTCTTCAACGGATCTATAGTACCATCTCCAATGATCTTCTTCACACCATCACGAAACCTAACACTGCCGCCTCATAGGCTTGGTAAGCTCTCGAAAATATTTTTCAAGATAATCAAAGTTCAAGGTCTGACTATCTTGACAGCAAGTTCGTCTCCACTCGTCTTGATCATCATCCGAACATCTCCTCCTACTGCCAAGCTATGAAGATGTTGGCGGATCAGCTTGCCAAAGTAGGAAACCAGGTGTCAAATCAAAGGCTTGTTTTAGAATTAATTGCTGGTCTCAATGAAAGTTACGAAGGCGTCGCCATGCTCAAACAACAAACCACTCCTCCTCCTGATTTCTATGAAGTCCGATCAAAACTAATCATGGAAGAATCTCGCAAAGCTCATCAAGCTGCCATAGCCGCAACTTCACCTAACCTCAGCGCCACCACCACCGGTTTAACAGCATCCACGACACATGCGAACCCCAGAAACAACGGCATCAACAACTGATTCAATCACCAACAACCTGATTTTACCACTTTTCGTGGATGGGGTCGTGGCAGAGGAGCTTACGTTCAGGGTAGATAAGAGCAACAATAGGGGAAGAGACTTCAACAACGATTCACATCAACCTCAACATAATTCTGGTACGGGTACACGCTCCTATTAACCATTGCCTACACCACCTCCTTGGGCATTCAAAACCTACTCACTGTGGGCTTATTCACCGTGTCCTTATCCTACACAACAAATTGGAAATACTAGACCTCCATCTAATGGATCTGGTATTCTTGGAAGCCGACCCCAGCAGGTCTATGCCACCTCCGACTCCAGCTACATGCCAACAGATTTGGAGCAGGCTTACCACAAGATGTCGCTCCACCCACCTGACACAAATTGGTATGCCGACACAGGAGCTACTTCCCACATGACGAATAATTCAGGTAACTTCACGTCTTATCAAAATAATGGCCATTTTCATAATATAATTGTCGGTAATGGTTGCACTATTCCAATCCAAGGTATCGGACATCAAACTTTTCCTTACCATTTCCCTCCTTTAATTCTCAAAAATGTTCTTCATGCTCCTCATGTTATCAAAAATCTTTTATCTATTCGTCGGTTCACAGGTTCACCACTGACAATAATCTTTCTGTGGAATTTGACCCTTTCGATTTTGATGTGAAGGATTTCCAAGCGTGGACACCAATTATTCGATGCAATAGTTGTGGCGATCTTTATCCTTTCACACTTCAATAAACATCCCAAGTTAGAACACCCTCAACTTTTGTTGGAGTAACAAAAGAATTTATGGCACCATCGGCTTGGACATCCGGGATCCGATATTTTATCTTTTTTTACAGTCTACTTTGAAATTTAGTTCTAGTTCTAAAACTTTATCTTCTGTTTGTTCTTGTGTGTTTGGAAAATAATCTAAGTTTCCTTTTTATGCTTCAAATTCTCTCACACGTTTACCTTTGATATAATTCACATGGATTTGTGGACATCACTTGTGCTAAGTTCTAGTGTTCATCGATATTATCTATTATTTTTAGATGATAAAACTAATTTCTAGTGGACAAACCCCCTAGCACACAAATCTCAAGTTTATTCCACTTTCGTTCAATTTTTCACACTTATTAAAACCCAATTTCATTTTACAATAAAAACAATACATTGTGATAATGGCCGCGAGTATAACAGTCATAAATTCCATCAATTTTATTCTCAAAATGGCATCCAGTTTCGATTCTCTTTTCCACACACATCTCCGCGAAATGGCAAAGCGGAAAAAAAAAATTGTTCAATTAGTAATGTGTTGCGTACTCTTCTTGCTCACTCCACGGTGCCATTACACTTTTGGCACCACGCCCTTCAACATGCCACTCATCTTCTCAACATTCTTCCGAGTAATCTCTT